GGGAGCGTGCGTCGGGGAGCAGGGCGGGGAGGGCGCCCGCCCACGCATGGCGCCGTGGGCCCGGCCCGGCCCGCCACCACCCACCCCGCCCGCCGCGCCACGCCCCGCCATGGACCTCCCGCTGTGATAATCGGACTGAAACCGCAGGCGGAGCTATTGCTATGCGGTGTGTAGAAGGGGTTCCCCTCTCTCCGCCCAGCACCGCCTTGCCCCCCTCCTCCCTCTCCGCCACGCCCTCCTCTCCTGACTTTTCCTATCCACCTCGTATCCCTCGCGGGCGCGCGGCTCAGAACAAAAGTGATGCGGGTACAGTTTGCTTCCTTCCAGAAGAAGTGGACTTTCTGATAAACAAAAAGATTTTGAGAGGACTACTGATTCAATGTATCCTCGAAGGTAAAATGTTATTCCTGGTGGGGAGCTTTATCACATATTGTCTCAAAACGTCTTAAGCGTAAACCAAACCCTGAACTCGATTACGGAACATCCAGCTTCTTTTGCCGTTACGAAACTGCCAAATTGAGCCAATGCTAGCTCTGGGAGCGCCTGATGGGTAGGCAATACTTTTGCCTACAGTGCATGCACGTACTGCGGGTTGGCCTATCCTAGGTCTCGCAGGCGACGAGCTCCCGCAATTTGCCGAATCAATCTGAGAAAAAAACGGACGTACTTTCTGGACTATCCCTCGGATCCAATTGACTACATCTGTCTCTCGGCCATGCGTGAAAGTGGGGACACAAAAAGTAAAGAGCGTTCAACGAAACGGATCGCGATTTCAAGAAGGGGTGTTCGTCGGACGTCAGGCGGGAGAAAAGAAAAAGGACGAACTTTTCGTATTGACTGCGGTGCTCGTCGCGGTAGCGGCGCCACGCGGCGCTCAGCCAGCCCGGCTACCGGCTCTCTCACCGCTAGCCAATTAACACCTCGTTAATTGTTCGCCGGTCCGGTCCGGCCTAGCCGAGCCTATCAGCTTGCCGATGGGTGGGCCCGGAGCCGGCTCGCCGAGGCCCGACCAGACCGGCGGCGGCGAAGGTCCCGCGCGGCGCGGTGGGGCGTGGCGGGGCGTGGCGTGGTGCTGCGCGCGGCTGACCACAAAAATGTCTTCATGTCTTCCCAACAAACGACGGCCAAGGCTCGCCTTGCCTGCCGGTGCTGTCTATCTAGGATACCTCCCCGCACGGACCGCCCTGCCCCGCCCCGCCCCTCCGCAGCGGCGGCGTCGTCCCTAAGTAATGAGAGTCTGGAAATGATTTCTCCCCGGGACTGGGCCGCAGCCGCACCGCGCCGCGCGAGCCGTGGGGCGGACTGGGGCTCTGGAGCGCCGCCGCCGTCCGACTTACTAAGTAAGTAGGAAGGTGGACTCTAGCCGCCTGCTCGCCACCTCCCCCTCCCTCACACTCACACGGGCAAGGCGTCGTTTATCGTCCATCTGGGCGTAATGCGATAGGACAGATAGGCGTCGTGTCAGTACGCCTTGATGTAAATGTCTGTATCCGCCGCGCCCCGCCGCGCCCCGCCGCGCCCCGCCGCGCCCCGCCGCGCCCCGCCACGACCTCATTGCGGCCTGCTGCCGTTGTTGTGGCGACAAGGCTGTGGATCAGCGTGACGCACCCCACGGGGCGGGGCGGGGCGGGGCGCGGCGGGGCGACATGTGAGGTGCGGCGGCGGGGGCAAGCAGAGAGCCCTTCACTTTGGCACTGCACCAGGAAATGGCGCGCTCGCATCACATACGACCATCAGCGCCACACCATTCGCGGCAAGCTTCCTCATCGGCAGTCTCAGCGACACCTCACATCGTGTACCACTACCAAGTCGACGTGCTTGTCGGGGGGTGGGCGGCGGCGTGGGCACCTCCTCCACCTCCACCTCTCCGCCGCCACCGAGGCGACCCGCACTGCCTCGCATTGAGTCATTTAGAGAGTGAGCGGCGCTCATGAGGCGAGGGCGAGGTGGTCCGGGGGAAGGGCCCAAGTGCCGACAAAGGGAGGGGCCGCACCCGAGGCCGCGCACCGCACCGCCGCACAGCGCAGCACAGAGCCGCCAACCCCGCCTCCTCCTCCTCCTACACGGGCACTGCGCAACCAACTTTTGAGGCTGGCTGTGCGC